AGTCATCTGGACTGAGAAAGAATCGAGCATTCATTAGAGAGAGGTCGTGTCAATCACATCTGCTCCACAAATGACCTGAAAGCTTCCTGGGCTTTTCAGACCGGAAAAACGGTCCCCGTGGGCGGTCTGAAGACTTTGAAATCGGAAGAGACAGAGTGCCAGCCGCCGTCTGATACGGCGCAGGTTGGCTTCATGGAAAAATGGCGTTTGCCATAAAGGTCACCTGGCCGCTTTAGGGGACTAAAGAAAATAATAGCTGAGCATGATAGGAACGGCCACTATAGGCCAATCAAAAGCAGTCGCGAATGGAGATTTTTTCCCCCCAGTTAGACTCAAACACGTGTCTTAAAAATCCCCATTAAAACAATATGCGGAGGTGTGGAGTTTCACCGGGGCTCTTCTCTCTCAGGAGCAGGAAAAGGTGGGGGAGCCTAGGGGCAAGAGAGATTGTAGAACCAGAAGGCAGCAGGACTCTGCATAGCCATCAACAAGGAAGCAGATTCTGCCAGGAACTGCCATTCTTACCAGGTTTGGCCTGACCTCTGACTGTCACCTATTTGGAAAGGTTGCCCTGGCAAAAAAAAAAAAAAAAAAAAAAAGGACTTGTTTGGGTGGCCTGTACATTGCAGTTCACCTACGGTTAGACTTCAGATGATCTAGGATATGATATGAAAAGTGTTTCTTAAGCCCATTTGTTTGGATGTTTTTTGGTTAATTTTCTTATCCCTTAATTTCCCAGAAAACACTACTTTTCAAAAGTTGTTGCAGCCTGTTACTAGGGGATAAAAAGGGATCGGTTTATTTAGGGGGTCAAGAAAGAGCTGGGACATGTAAAAGCAGTGAGCCAAGAATTAAAGCAGTCTAATCCAGCTGAAGTCCTCTCTTTTGCACTTCAATCATTTTCATTCCCCCACCCAAAATCCATACTTCAAACAGAGCTGGCCCCTTGCTCACCCAGAACGGCTTGAAAGGCTTTGCCTGGGATGGTGGGGCACAACCAAAAGTCTGACCTCTAGGGTCCTTAGAATTGAGGAGGTGGTGAGATTAACCTCTTTAACTGGCCATCCCAATTCAAGACTGCACCCTTACCCCTTCCCTTCCCTCCTACCCATCATCTATCCTCTAGTAGTATTGTAAGGCATCATCTGACAGCTCCGGTTTTAGTTTTATCGATAGCTTTGCATCTATTTTGGAATGGGATTTGAGAGGAAAAGTGTTCACCATCTGTTCTGTTCTCTGAGGCCCCACTTCTCCCTCTCCTAACCTTTTAATAGGGCTGTAGGAAGCCTAAGTGCAGCCTCTGGGGACCAGGTTTCTTATGGAGGAGCCCTACATTCTAGAACAGTTTAGCCGGCCCAGGAGGAAACAACACTTAAACCTGTGCTAATGACGGAAACAGACCCTTTCTTTTACTGTTATTAACCTTGGCCACACTAGAGGTTCACAACAATTTCCCTTGGTCAGGTCTAGAAGAGATCTTGTATCATCTGTTACAGATAATTGAGCCATCATAAGAGAGAGTGTGTGAGCGGAGTGGTGAGTAGAGGGAGGCAGATGTGACAGAGTCCTGTAGTACTCCCAAAAAAACACATTCTCCGGGGAAATAGCAGCTTTGGTGGCAGAGGAGAGGATGGTCATGAGTCCTGGGGCTGCAGTTTCCCTTTCTTCTCCTTTTGTAACAGGGATGTTCCTCTCCCCACCCTGTAACACTTTGCCGTCGCCCAGACCCCAGAGTGCCTCTGAATTGCCGTCTCTGGAAGGAAGTTCGCTACATCCCTGATGCTGGGCTGCAGTACAGTACAGTGCTCTAAATTTAGGAAGGAGGGGAAGGAGGCAGCAACACTAGTATGCTATGTTCTGTCTCTGACGCCAGGTGGCACCAGATCATAACCATATTTCCAAGGAAACCATTAGGAATTGGACCTTGAGAGCCCTTGAACTATTTTCCTTTCCCTCCCGTACATACAGAATCAGAGGCCTTTCAGGTATGGTGGATACCTCATCTTACGTGAAAACGCAGCCTTGAGCTAGAGCCACGTCTAGTTGAAGAGACTTAGGATTGTAAATGTGGCTTTAGTTTCCGACTTTTCTGGAGAACTGTTTCTCAGCTTCAGGTAAGCGAAAAAGGTGATTTTCCTGGAATCTTTCCAGTTGTTTCCACCTTCCAGAAGAAATATGTTCAAGGAGATCAGCTGAAGAACAACAGAAAGGACACCTAGGAGGTTCTGCTCAAATGTTGGTCTCCCGTCTGATGGGCTAATAAGCTCTACCATGGACCTTGTGGGATGGGACATAATCTAAAATTAAAGGTGTGAGGTGATCAACCAGACTCATTTTCTCTTCTAGTCAAATTGGGCTGATACCAACACCTCCATACATTCCCATTCCTAAGCTCTCTACCTGGAATGCTCAGCCATTTCTGTCAATTTGTCCCACTTGTCAAGCTGCAGAAAGAACTCCATGAAGGCTTCCTTGCTTTCCCCATATGAAGGGATCTCCCACTTTTCTAAATTACTCTAACAGCCTATGCCAATTGCCCTAGTCTTCTACTAGTCTTCTACTTTAGATTATACTTATTTGTGAACATATCTCCCCTACAAAATTATGAGCTCCCTGAGGGCAAGGACTATGTCTTACTTATCCTTTTATACACAATATCAATGATCACAATAGGCACTGAGTAAATAATAACAATTGTCTTACATTTGCATGGTGCTTATAATTTACAAAGTATATTCATATTCATTTTCTCATTTAAGCCTTACAACATCCCTGCTACGATGTGTTAACCACTCCTATTTTACAGATGAGAGAACAAACTTGGGGACATTAAACAGCTTACTTTAGGAAGAGGCAAAGATAGGTCTCACTGCAGTTTTACTGACTCTAAATTCAGGCCTTTTAATTTTCTATAACTGAACTGTTGACTGGAAATTCGTTCATGGTGGTTGAAGCCAAGGATTCATCCTAAGGACTGGGGGAAAGGGAGAAGATCTAAAGGTCAAACTCCTCTTGTTTCGTTTCCACCCCCTTCTCCTCCCCACTCCCTTGTTTTCAAAGAGGATTTCAGATCTTATTTTGTTTAAGAATGTTCTGGTGTGAGATGTCCTTGTGGATAAGAAGGGAAACAGGGTGAAGAAGATAGGAAGGTGTACTCACAGCTGGTGACTAATGGAGCTTTGTCAGCCTGGAGGGAGGTCCCTGTCCAATGGTTTAATTAATGACTTGGATCAGGACATTGATGGCATGCTGATCAAATTTGTAAATGACATGAAGCTGGTTTCAGGAAGATTCTGAAAGACCATAATGAGCCAGGAAAACAAAACATAAAGTTTAATAATTGAGTTTGTCAAAACCAAATGCTTAAGTGTAAGGTAGGAGAGAGGTGACTTAATCTGTGTGAAAAGGTTTCGGGTGTTCAAGGTGTCTGTAAGCTCATTATTTTTGACACTAGCTACCTGAAATGCTGTTACATTCAGGTTAGAATGTGGGAGCTGGATATATGCTTTCTTCTCTGCTCAGTAGACCACAGTGAAGGGAGGATTGCCTTTGGCCTTGGACACCACACATAATCAGGTGTGTTAGTAACCTGGTGCATACACAAAATATTGAGACCATGAGGAGTGTGCGAGGATTTAGAAACTATCATACATAAGCTATTTAACCTTGAGGAGGGATCAACAGGGTGATGATGGTGGTGGTTCAGGATCCAGTGTTCAAATTTGGAAGGTTCATTATATTTGAAGAGGGATTCACCTTGTTTGCTTTGTTAGAGGGTGGGTGCTATGGAGAAACAGATTTTGACTCAGGAGAACTTTATAAGGGTTGGAGATGACCAAATATTGTGCAATGGCTGCTTTGAGAAGAAAAGATTTTCTCAGCACTGGAGGTATTTAAGCAGAGCAAGATATCTATTTGGCAAGAAGGTTACAGAAGGAAATCAAGCTTCAGATCATAAGGGAAGGGAATTAGGCAACCAGTAAGGCTGCTTCTGACACTATAGTTTTGTAACTCAAGTGAGGAGGGTTAGAGAAGAAAATGGTTGTAGCCTTCAGCGTAGATAACTCTTCCCAAGTTATGTTTTTGATTCCAGTTTGTCCTCCTCCAGCCTGCCTTACGCCTAAGCTCTAGAAATATTTTCCTGAAATCTTCAGATCAGGTAGCCTAGAATTTCAGTAACACTATATTATATGTATCGATATTATAATGATCTTGGAAATGGCTGTCATTGAAATGAAGTGACATACAAACTAAAATGAAAGCCACCACTTGTTTACAAGGACATTGATAAACAGACACCAAGGCAAGGATAGATAAAAAGCCTAACTGTGCCAAGCAGCCAAGCCCAAGAAACTAAGAGGTGGCTTTGATGATGAATTTCTCAAGTAGTACAAATATGGAAGCTGAAAGAGTCAGTCTGGGATGCTTTGGACTCCGTGCTCATGGGAAGTCTCCGAAGCCTTCTCCAGACTTGGCATCTGCCACCAGAGGCTCTGCCTGAAGCAGCAGCACCCCTCTTCCTGGCCCCCCAACCCCGAAAACACAAAGGAAGTTCCAAACTTCCTCCCCACAGACACAGAGGCAGCTGCTCTTGTGCTGTTCTCCTGAATTTTATCAGACTGGTTCACACCTTCTCCCCTCCTTTTACTGTCTGTTGAGTTGCACACTCATATTAATGCATTGTGGATTTCCCTCCAATAAATCATACTGTAGCTATATGTGATTGGCTTGAATTGTAAGAGAAACCTCTCCACCAAAGTAGGAGTTAGCATGTTGAGATCCAAACTGCACACTACATTATTAGAGGTTACCTGGTTCGGTCCTTCAGCAGAGACTCATTGCCTTTGTATTATCCACATGGGTGACAAAATGCTTTGTAACTGGGCATCTTTTCTTCCCTGTTTTTAAAGCTGTTGGTAATAAATTTACTTGTTCTCTTTTTCTCTCTTGGTAGTAAATTTTAAAAGAACTTCAAGAGGCTGGAATGATGAGCTGAAACTTTTATTATCATTTTCTTTTCATTATAAAAAAGAGAAAAAAAAGCACCTTCTTCATGTTGGATCAAAATCTGCTTCACTATAACTTCCACCCATTAGATCTTGGAGCCCTTAGAGTCACACAGAACAAATCTACATCTTCCTTTTCCCCTTAAGTCCACTAGTAATTTCCTTACAGTGCACAGGTTTCCCCTAGGGTTTGCCAGTCCCTCACTGTTCTCACCACTTTTTCTCAGGATATACTTTTGTTGTTATCTCCCTTGAGGTATGGGCCCACCATGAACACAGAGCATCACATGTAGTCTGACTAGTGTAGAGTAGCATAAGAAGATCACTTCCTTTATTTGGGATATTAAACTCTTATTAATAGAACCCAAGTTCACAATACTTTTTGTAGCCATCAAAAAAACCACACTTTTGACTTCAGCTTCATGATGAGTTGTCATGTACTCTAAACCCTCATATCCACATCTCTCACATCCTACACATGTACTATTATTTTTTGGAATTCAAATAAGTAACTTTACATTTGTCCCTGTTAATTTTAATTTTGCCTTAGTAAGTCCATCATATCATTCTTGACATCCCCATGAATTCTGATTCTGTGAGCTCACCATTTGACTCTCTCTTAAACTGATGTTTAATTTTCAGATTCAAACTAGTAACACTAAAGCAGAATCCTTTTGTGTGTGGCCATCCAACTGTTTAAGAATCTGCCTAGGTTTATCTCTACACCCCACATTTCTCCGTATTATCAAGAGCATCATGAAAGAATGTTTTGTTGAATTCCAGATACACTGTAGGCATAGCATTCTACTCCTCTGCTTATCTGTCCTATCAACCTATCAAAAAAAAAAAAAGGGCTGAGTGGGGAATGATTTTTCTGAATCTATGTAGGAGCTGGGTGACCTTTGATTCCTTTTGTGAGGCTCACCAACCATCCATTTTTGTCCTAGACTCTTGCCCTCAGTCAATATTAAACATATTGACCTATACTTCGCAGAATTCATCTCTTCCCATATGTAAAGCTATGGAGACACCCTTGACTAACTCTAGGTTGCACTGTATGTCTCCTTCATGCCCCACTGTGCTTTCAAAGCCACCACCAGTTGTCCTGCCACTTGACCTGCAAGTCCTCAAAATGCCCCAGGCTGTTGGCTGTTATTTGCTTGGACTATGAGAGGGAGTTATTCCGAGCAGCCAAAGGATTTCAACTGCACTGCCTAAAGGAGCCTCCTCTCACCAGTATCCCATTTATCCTTTCTACTCTGAAATTCCTTGCAGAAGAGAAGGAGCAAAAGTGGAGCTGAGGAGGTTTTGTTTCCTCTCTATGAAACCACTGGCAAAAAAGTTGGGTCAGGGCGTCCATCACTAATCCAATAATGGCCAAAACTCTTCTGCTGTTCTGAAGACCTCTACAACCTGCCTTTCCAATTCGATTTCCCACCATTGAAATGAAACTTGCTGCTTTGGTCAAGTTAATGCCTCCACTGCTCCTCAAGCATATCCAGATGTTCTCCGTTCCATGCTCTGGTTGAGGTCTTTCTCCCAGTCTGGAATGCCCACCCTCTCCCCAAATCCTACTATGCCCTTTTGTGTAGCTTCTCTAACCTTCTTAACCTTTATCACACAATTGAAGTCATATAGTAAATTATGAGTCTCATTTATTTTAATCAGAGTTTAGTTTTGTCTTTCTGACAGTATGAACCCCAAAGAAGGTATCTTCTGATCATCATGGTACATATAAATTAGCAAAGGCCCAGGCCAACAGTCCTGATGACCATACTCGCTTCTGATGGAGATTTCCACAGTGATCAACGTCCTGCCCTTTACACACCCTAAGTTCAGATCCCAAGATACTGCTCTCCCATGACTTAAAATAGAGTCCATGTAAATCTAGGGATGCAGGTTGGACTCAGTCTTGGCACGGATGATTTTTGCAATGTGAAATAAAGTCTGAATATGTCCTCACTCCCTTTTCAAACAAGGAGCTGGACTTTTTAGCTGGGATCAGGGCTATAGTCAGCAACAGGGCTGAGAATACTCAAACTATTCTGACACAGCACTGACTGTCAGTCAGATTGAAATCTTGCCTGGCTTGTGGCTCACCTCTTCTACTCAGCTCTCAAACGTGTGAAAACCAAACCTCTCACAGATGGCTCACTCCAAATAGGATTGGAGTCAGGTTTGTTATAGCACCTTGAGTTCTTGGGGGAGAGACGATGTCTAAGTCTTCCCCAAATAGAGAGTCTCCTAATTTGAAGGTGTAAACAAACACACGCACACATCTGCGCACGCGTGCGTGCACACACACACACACACACACACACTTGTACACACACCAAAAAAAGGAGGCCCATTTTGGTAATATCTGAGATGGAGCAATGAAAGGATCAGAACAACAAAGACTCTGAATTGACCTAAAAAGGTCATGGATCCCAGCCCCCTGTTTTCTGGGAGAGGAAGCACCCAAGAATTTTTCTCAGTCATCTATTCAAGTTGGCACTTGTTATCGAGGACTCACTAAGTGCCATGATCACCTATCTACAGCAAAGTTTCTCCTTGTGTCTAATTTAATCTTCTTTCTTTCTCTATCACTCTCAGAAGAAATGGAGAACAGATCCTAGCTCTGTCCTAATTTAGGAATGAAATTTTTGAAGACAGCTATAGCACACTTGTCATATAGTAGGTGCTCCACAATTATTAAAAGTTAGCACATTGGCTTCCTCCTTTCTAAATAATAATAATAATAATAATAATAATATAATAATAATAATATAATAAAACTAGTCCTTTGGCACATTTCTGTTCTGCTCTTCTCCAAACCCCTTCTCCAGTTTTTCTACAAATGCTGAAAATGTGTTGACCAAGGGCAGATCCACTACCACTTTAAAAGGCCTAACCACTGCTAGGCAGAGTGGAAAAAGTTAAGGGCCAAGGAAAAGGTCACATATTACTTACTGTTTCTAATGCTAACTGTGATACACTTTTGTGGGCCCAGTTTCCCAGTTCTAAAATAAATGGACTAGATGACTCTGAGGTTACTTCTAATTCTAAAACCCCGACAGATTACTTCCCAGCAATTCCATGCTATACTTCTGTTATTATCCCTAGAATCCATGTTAGCTTTAGAAAGGAGGGAGAAAAGGACTGGGAGGAGAAGAGGGAGGGAAGAGAACAACAATTCTACACTGTGGACTCATTCTGAGACCCACCCTGACACCCTCCCCCAGGTCTCCTTAAGTATACTTGTGTGAGTCAATCATTGTCCATCTCTTTTGTCCCCATGTACCTTGTCAGCACATTAACTCTTGGTCTTGGCCTTTGAACTACTACCTTATGTTTGTCCCCTCTGATTTCATCTCGTTGTGTTGGTTCATCTCCCTCATTTTGTCAGCGTCACTTTGAAGAATTCTATTCCTGGTTTCTGAGATGTCAGCAACCCTGCCAACTGTCACACTTGATGATCAGACTCCGGTTCTGTCCTTCAAGTCACTGAGAATTGTATGAAAAACCAAAATTCTAGCTCTGTGGAGCCCCTTTGAATCTGTCCCCCAGGGTTGTCAGGGAGCCACTGATAATCATCCTGGAGAGAAATCACTCCCGAGGCCCCAGAGACTTCTCCGATTCTAATTCACAGAATGGGAAACAAATATCTCTGGGGAAGGAGAGGGCCCCTGCTCTGTCAGTCACCCAAGACCAGAGTTCACATATCTGATGCCGCACTGGATTCAGATAAGAGAAAGAATTTCAGTATGTTAGAGGTCAAGCCTCCTCCCAGCCCCCAGTCCAGGATGAGGGCAGAATGGCAACTGTGGGAGGTGGTGGCAATGGCAGCAGCAGCGATGGCAGCAGCAGCAGTGGAGTCTTCGAAGGTGGCGGTGTTGGCGGAGGCAGCGGTGGCAGCAGAGGAGAAGGAAGTGCTATTTTGCCATTTCAACTAGGAGGCCCAAGGTGCTGAGAGAAGGTTTCAGTCACAGGAACCCAGAGCACTGGGAGGGGAGGGGGCGGGAGTTGGGGGGTAGGTGGCCACAGCCACCAGATTAAGATTAGAAAGGCCTTCGTGCCTGCGGGGCACCAGCAGAATGCAGCTCAGACTTGTACTACTTTAAAGGCACCAGGCCAAAAGAGCAGCAATTGTGAGCCCACAGAGGCACCCTGCTGGGAGGTCTGCTGGGCAAGGCCTGTGTAAGGGAGGCAGGGTGGGAGTGCTAACTGGATTTGTTTATTTTTGTATCAAGACACTGTTTAAAATTTTTACAAAGGACAAACTCCATGGGTTTCCGTTAGTGTTTTAAGAACTTTTCTTTAAAAAAAAAAAAAACCAACAACAACAAAAAACACCGCCTTTTGAAAGAGAAATGACAGACACAAAAGAGACTCTGTAAAGAAAATGGGGTGAATTTCTGATAGTATTACCCCAAGGGCAGAGGCAGAACCCAGATTATACCCAGGAGCCTGGTATGACATGGCCTCCACAGAAACTCACACACCAAATCTGGTGTCCCCTGGTCTAGCCAGGCGTATGCTCCTGGCCTTTGGGAGAAGCAGCAGCTCACCCACAGCTGCTACAGTCCTCCACAGAGACACAGAAATGGCTGGGGAGTTGAGTTCTTCCCTATATTCCAACCCCATCCAGCGGTATCCCCTTTCTCCTTCCACCCATGGTCTTGTTCAAATCTGTTTTTTTCTTGGGGTCCTGTTCCTTGGTCAAATTGCATGAGTACTGGTGGTGGTTGGGGGTGGGGAGGGTTCCAGAACCAGAGAGGCCTGGGCCTAGAGCCCTCCCTTCCGGAGCCTCTTTGCACACATGGTCAGTTGAAGGATCATTTGTTCCATGTTTTTTTGTTTTGTTTTGTTTGTTTTTTTTTTTTAAATTCAACAAAACAGACCCAGAAAAAAAAGACCAAGTCTGGGGGAGAAAGAGCTATTTTGCTCTTTAAAGCTCCCAAGTCTGGACTTGGTCGGTGGTGCAGTTCCAAGAGAGGCGGAAGGTGAGCACCAAGGGGTTGTCCAGCTGGTGCCTTCAGGCCTCCCCAGGAGTGTCTGTGGTCAGGCTCAGGGAACTGGCTTCAGCTGCTGTTCCATGGGTCCTTGGCTTCCCAAGGATTTGTTTGTGTCCCCATTTGTAGGGCTTGTTCATGTTTACTTCCATGTTTGTGTTTTCGTACATGCGGGTGCATGTCCACACCTGTCTGTTTGTGCAGGTGGGCCTGCTGTCAGGTGTAGGTGCGTGCGTATACATATATGTCGGCACGTGTTTGTGTTTGTGTGTGTATGTTTGTGTGTGTGTGTGCACGTGCATGTGTCTCTGTGGGTCTGGGAGGGAGCCGGGGCATAGGCTGTGCTCTAGGCTGGAGCTATACCCGGGTAGTGGAGTGTGAATGGGGCAGCCCAGTACTGTTGAACCCTGCGGCAAAAGTATTATAAGGGTGCAATGTTTGCAGCCCTACCAGGGAGTTGGGAATCATAGTGATGGTGTTGGGGGTCATGAGTGGGATGTCATCTGGGGAGCGCCTCAGGGTCAGGGTGTAGTCGGGCAGTGCAGTGAGGCGCAGTGTATCATGGGGGGGACCAGCCTCACACTCATGGTGGGTGGGGCCCAGCTGTAATGCTGCCAGCTCCTCCTCAGGAGCAGCTCCCAATTCAGGGGCCCCAGCTCCCCTCTGAGGGCTAGGCTGCCGCAGTGGCTCCTGACGCCGTTTGTCCTTACGGTAGTAGAGGGCAGCGAAGGCCAGAACATTAAGGAACAGGAGAGAGGCCCCCACAGCGATGGTGACACTTAATTCAGTGGAGTAGTCGCGGGGATTTTCCACCAGGAGTGGTCCTGCATCCTGGTCCCCATTCCAGGACCCTTGGGCGTTCTCGTTGCTGTAGGCAGGTGAGATGGCTGGCCGCTTGGTGCTCCAGGTCTTGCCGTTGGGCCTGCGGGTGATGTGGGAGCTGTGGGTGGTATCCGGGGGCGGCACTTTGGTGGTTGTGGATGTATAGTGGAACATGTCGTGCAGGTTGTATAGGTGGGGCACCAGGTGTTTCCAAAAGGCTACCTTAGTGGCCCGGTAATGATCTCGGACTCTCGGTTTCAGCCCGATGTGAAGGTACAGCTGGTCTCGGGGATTATATTTAGACCAGGCCACTTCCTCAAAGCGGTTGGCTTTGGTGTGAATGAACTTGGTGTCCTGGGGGACCGGCTTGTTGGGATCCCTGCAATATCACATGGAAATCTGGGGTCACCACTCTACCTAGATGAGGAAAGGGCCCAATATTCTGCTTTTTGCCCCTACCCCAAACCTCATTTCCAGTCCTAAACCACCCAAAGTTTCCATCTTTTTCAGAGTCCCTCCCTCAGTCCACATTCCTCCACTTCCCCAGGCCTTGAACGCCTAATGCCCATGGTGTCATGGCAACCATCTCATCCTTCTATGTGCTCATCCTCTAAGATCATGCTATAGATACCTTTTCTTCTCACAGGCCACTAAGCATCCATCAGCTGGCTGGTTTTTCCAAGAGCGCTTTAAAGGCTCTTTCTGGAAGTATTTTTTTTTCCCACTTCACATGGCCTCTGAACTTCTAACCTTGAATCCCATATTTCTGTTAGTACTCTTTCACTCCTGCTCAGTCCTAATGCTAACTGAGTTCTGAGCCTCAACATTTTTGAGGGGAAAAAAAAGGTGTGTAAGACGACTCAAGAAGGGGCAGGTAGGGAGGGGCAAAAGGGTAACCAAGCAATATTTGGAGCGTATTTTAAGAAGAGAGATGAGGGAAGAGGTTTAAATGGAGAACAGAGAGGAGGGCATGCTGGGGGCCCAAAGAAGAATAATCCCCTTTTTTGCCTTACCCTGTCTTGGCAAAGTTGGTCCAGTAGGTCATGACAACAGCACTGAGCATGACATCATTCTTGGAGAAGTTGCAAGGAAAGAGGTCAGTGGGACCTACCATAGGGACACCAAAAACGTAGGGTACTTCATCCCCATGAGCTGCATCTGACCAAGCAGGCTTCATGAGGCTCTGGCAGTGATGGTAGAAGGCGTAGAAATAGGTAGGTGAGCCATAGCGGGCGTGCAAATCAGCTGTCACTACCGAGGGCTCCACCCACTGGTGATCAGTAAACAGTGCCACCAGTGTCTTACGACGGGTCTCAGGGTTGTCACGGTCTGCCCAGTCTGTGTACATGAACTTGATGGTCTCTCGCAGTGTGTCTTTGCCCTCAGGATAGCCGTAGAGATTGTCCACAAAATTAGAGACTGAATAGTCAAAGTCAGTGCCAGAGACACCATCTTCAGGGTCCACCACCCCTTCCACAAACTTGAGCCCCTCACCCTGGTTGACACCTAGCATGATGTCATAGTTGAGGAACTCGCCCTGTTCCATGAGGATCTCAGGGTCGTCAGGGATGACATCACCATCAATCACAGGGCCAAAGGCCACATGGTAGCGGGCTGGCTGGATATCCTGCTCTACCAACTCCTTGGCACTCTTTTGCCGAAGACAGTCCACCATGTCCACTGTGTCTAGCACGTTACAGCCCACCTTGTCTGCCAGCAGGCTGGTATACTTCACTGGTTGGTAGTTCACAGCCCAGCTGGACAGAGCAGAACCACTTTGGATGATGGCCCTCTGGAAAAGCCCTACAGGAGATAGGCAGCACCAGGTCAGTTTCTCTGAGTCATCCACAGCCCAGGCCTCCCTTATGTGTCCCCCAGGGAAAGTGAGACACCTTCTCATTCTTTGGTCACTGAGGCTGCCCGATGGGTAGAATGGGCTGGGACGGAGGAACAACTCTCTGAAATGTGATGATGGGCTAGGACCAGACAAGAGGTTGCAGACCTTTTCCTTTCTCACCTCCTTGTCCTGGGTGATGGTTGGTCACTTGGGGGTTAAGGAGATGCTAGGAAGAATTAACCCCTTGGGGCCCAGACACCAGCTTCCTTATGCTCCTTCTCTTTATCTTTCCTTGTCTTCCCCTCTGCTTCCTGCCCAGCTGGGCCCAGCTCTGTGCCAGCGCACCACCAGGGAGCTGGCGCTTCTACCACAAAGGGGTCTTTTTCATGAGAGATGAGAAATACAGGCAGGAGCAAGCCTCACATTCTGTGAGTTTGGGGAAGAATTCCCAAGGGCAAAGGCCTTGGGGGTCTGAAAGGCTCCAGGGAACATGCCCAGTTTGCAGTCTCCACAGAGACTTTCCTCTTCCTGAAGCTACTAATGCCTCAGTGCCAGATTTCCCCTTACTGAGAGGGACTCAGTCCCCCAGACTCAAAAAGTAGATGATTCTTCCCCTGACCCTAGGACTAAAAAGGGTATCATTCTCTCCCTGGCCCCAGCATTTCCCAGGGAGGAGCTGGCCTTTGGGCATAAAATTCCACTCCTCTAGTAGAAAAGGCAGTTTGCCTGGCTGAGAAGAGAGGTAGAGAAATATAGATTACTACTTAAGGGGGAGCCTCCCTTTTCAAAAGATTATTCTTCATGAGTCAGTCACAGAAAAACAGAAAGAGCAAATTGTCAAAGCAGTTAGGTCTCAGGGGACACAGACCTCCTGTGAGATATGGCAAAGACCCATTCCAGGAAGAGCCTTCTTCCCATTCCAGGAAGAGCCCTCCTCAGCTAGAGAAGGCCCCTTTCCTCTCTTCGGACACAGCCTGTCACTTCAGGCTTTGTGGAAAAAAGACATTCCTGTTCCCATTCCTGTCACCTAAAAATATTCTAAGGTGGGATGTTCACTTGCCAGGACAGTCCCTGGAGGGCTTTCAGAGAGACAGGCCTTCTTCAAAGAGAATATCACTAACTCATGGAGCAAATCAACCCCACCAGTGAAAAAAAATCAATGTAAAAAATGTCCTCTCTCACAGACATCCTTACTTTAGAGAAGGGCACCTATTTCAGGAAGACCTCTTCTTTGTGAGATATTCACTTTGCCTCACAGAATGAACATGCGCTTTGTGGCCCAGAGGAGGCAAGAACCTTTCTTGCTGAGTGAGAAAGGATTATTTATCCCCTTGGGAGGGTCACTGGCAGGGGAACCCATTACTAGGAGAGAGGATTTACTTCCAGCTAAAAATGAGGGTCTCAGGCCTCGCTGGTGGCCTACAGGTTAAGTTTCAGTGCTATCATGACTACTAATGGCCTGAATTAGATCCAATGCCAGGAGCTGACCCACATGGTACAGCAAACCTCTCCTGTATCGCCCGCTACTCCTCTCAGCAGTGAATTTCGGTGGACCCACCTGCTCTGCTCCCCATTCTGTCTCTGGTGAATCCTCTCACCCCCTGCACCTCTGGCCTCCACCCCAGAGGCTTTCTTAGGTGGGTTGGATAGCCTGAGAGAAGGCCTGAAGGCCAATAACGGGCAACAATCCTTCTAACAAAGTGCTCCTTAGAGGTTCACGAACCTTACTCTGGCCAGTCTCCTCCCTCAAGGAGAGTTGCCCTCTTGTATCCAACTGTTCTTTAGAGAGATAAGGCAGAGAATGAGTGATATTTTTTACACTTAAAAATTAATTTTTGGCCCTTCCTGGTGATGCAGAGGGTTAAAGAACAGCACTGAGAGGCTTAAGCCACTTCTGCATGAGTTTGATTCCCGCCTGCCCCAGAGGTGACCACATGGCATGGCAGACCTCTCCTGGCCCGCTCGCTGCTCCCCTCAGCAGTGTACATCATTGATCTGCCTGTTCTGCTCCCTGCTCTGTCTCTGGTGAATCCTCTCACCCTCCGCATCTCTGGCCTATACCCCAGTTCTGTATGAATAAATAAATAAATCTTTAAAAAAATTAATTTCCACCCTAGCTCTCTACCCTGAAGTCACATGTTCTTCCCAAATGGAAAGATTTCCCCTGCTCAAAAAGAGCTATTGTCCTTTCAGAAAGAGGCATTCTACTTCCATGCTGCCAAATAAGACTCCCACACCAGAAGGAGAATATTATTTTCTGGCGATGTAAATGGGATTCTCTCTTCACTGTCTCACATTGGGTGGCACCATAGAAGAGGAGGGCTGGCTGATTCCCCTGGGTGTTCCTGGGGCAGCATGCCATGAGCTTGGGAGGGTGGGAAGCCTGGGGCTCAGGGTGAGCAGCCCGCATGTTGCTAACTTACGTTCTCCCAGGAGCTACTCACCCTCAGAGTGGTGTGACAGCGTAAGGAGGCTGACACAGGATGCTCCGATGCCCGAGCCAAAGACAGTAATACGGCGGGGATCGCCACCGAAGAAGGCAATGTTCTCGCTCACCCAGCGAAGGGCCTGGATTTGGTCAAGGAGCCCATAGTTGCCTTTGGCAGCCTGATCTCCAGTGCTCAAGAAACCTGGATTCAACAAAGGGCAGGAGGAAAGTGAACAGGAGGCATGAAGATTGGGGCTGTGATGGCCAGCAGGGTTGGGGGCCTGAGGACAGAGGGCGTGCAGCACAGAGCATTCCGCCTGGCTGACATCGACACTGATCCTTTCTGCAAGGCCTGAAGCACTATCAGTGTGGGAGAAAGATTAGTTCCTTACCTCCCACCCATTCTCCAGTTTGGAAGAGGTCACCAGACCCTGTGAAGTGGATGTTTTGTGTTTACTAGAGACAAACCATGGTCATGCCTGCCAACAGCCAGGATGTCAACCTCTGCCCAGATGTACCCTCTGGGACATTAGCCTGCCATCTGGCAAAAGTGGAAGAGCAGCAATGCTGGAGTTAGATGGTCCCTGTTCGAGCTGTGGTCCTACCACTCACTAGCCCTGTAACTTTGGACAAGTGGTTAAAAACATCAGTGAAATACCAATAAAAATAATGCGGGGGCTGTGCAAAGGAGAAAATGGACACAAGCATCTCTAGCATGCTCAGCACGTTGCAGTCTCTAGGTACTTCTCTTTTCCTTTTCTTCTCTCTAGGGAGGCAGTGTGGATCCCAGGAGGCAGCAATCGTTAAACTCTCCTTGCCTTTCCTGTGCAAGTTAGTGCAGTTCCATCTCTTTCCACGACCTTGGATGGCCCTCCTCCCCCTTAGCCTTAAGGCAGATCCTCATTTCTCTTTCTCCAAGACATACAAAATCTGAAACTCTGGGATGGGGCCCAGCAAACTGTATTTAACTAGCTCTCCAGGTGATTCTGATGCTTGCTAAAGTTGGAATACCACTGGGTTAGACCATCTTCTCCTCTGGTGGAGAAATGGGGAAGCCAATGCAGTGTGTTACCACAGTAACAGGTTTTCCCGCCCACCCACTGAGATTTGCTGCTGAGGAGACATATCACCATGGAGACTACCTTCCCACCCACCTGCTGGGATTTGCTGCTGTGGAGACTTGTTGCCATGGAGACTACCTTCCCGCCCACCTGCTGGCTATCCCACAGAGATGTCCTATATTCCCCCACCCTGCTTCCATTTTAGACTAATCCTGCTGCCTCATTTCATCTCCCTACCCTGGTCCTTTGGCTCCTTGGGAGGTTCTGTCTTCTCCTGCCCGAGGCATTGGGAGGGGCTCTGTCGAGGAGGATAGCCGTGGTGCTCCCACACATTGGAAACCCATGCCTGGATCAGTATTTTTTGACTGATGAGCTAAAAGCTTATCCACAGTGTCTGTACTCAACTTTGTGTGAGGTCATGTTTGAGGAGACTACCTCAGCTCACAGAAGGCTTTCTGGGGTCTTGGCAGTCCAGAGGCAGAAACTGAACTCAAATAGGCCTCGGCAGGTGCAAGTCCCCATCACTGTCTTTCTCAAGTCCTTTTGTTTCTAGCTTTTGCAAAAGAGCTCATTTCACCCACTTCAAGTGTGCTATTGATTTACCTTTGGTGGGTGATTAAGTATGTAAAGTACTTGGTTATTCCTCTCAGGACATAGTCACAAGCTCTCTTTAGTTCCAGGTTCCCGATGAAGAAATGAGAAAGAGAAACAGCCTGAATGGGATGAATGGAGAAGCCCTTGCTCCTCTAGACAAGGCAGCCAGCTTCTGTCTTGCCTGGCCCATTCACACACTGAAGCTGCTTCTGCAGGTCTGAAAAAGCCCGCTGACCATGATCTAGAGCAACTGTCCACGCCTTGAGACACTCTGGCAAAAAATCACTAGGTGCTGGACCTCCCTGGTGGTACAGGGGTTAAAGTATCAGCACTATCAAGCCACTGTGGCATGAATTCGATCCCTGGCCAGGGAAGTGACCCACATGGCACAGCAGACCTCTCCTGTCTTGCGCACTGCCCCCCTTCAGCAGTGTATTTCAGTAGATTCGCTTGTTCCGCTTCTGGGTGAATCCTCTCACCCCCGCATCTCTGGCCAAACACCCCAGTTCTTGTATGCATAAATAAGTAGAAATAAATCTTTTTAAACAATCACTAGGTGTTTCTCTTAGCCCGCTTATTCTTCCCTTCCTCCTCCTTCCTTCCCTCCCTCACATTGTCTTTTTCTTTTTTCTTACTTAGGCAATAGCAGACTTGGCTCCAGCCTTTGCCAAGGAATCACTCAGTGAAATGTGTCAAATATATCTGTCCTAATCAGTGGGAAGAGCCTGTAGCTGGATGTAGTAAAGTAGATGTCTCTCACATGTACTGATTTTCTGAGTTAAGAACAAAAGGTTGAAAGGGTTGAGAACAGGATCTGACCATTGGTCTCTGCTCCTTCAGACCACGATAAGCACCTCACGATAAGGGGTGCTAAGGACATGGATTATGCCAGGCCAATCATCCCTACCACAAGAGTTCTGTGCAAAGAGCTTGACAGCATTTGATAGAGAAATGCGACCAGTGGCAAGCTCACACGATCCAGCAGTCTGGAAGAGCAGCCACTTGCTGCTAACTCCCCAGTAACTCAATCAGCCATAGCCGGCACATGAGAATCAGGACTGAAATGCCAAACTACAGACTAACAGAATAAATCCGAGTCAGTCTTCCTGAGCCAAGTTTACGCAGCAGGACATGGTGAGCTGCTTGTTAATAGAAGGAGGCAGAATTTGCACATTGTAGCAAAACCAGATATCTGTATGACTCCAGACTTGACATTTAGCAGGTTTTCAATTTGCCTGGAGGGCACCTGAGCAAGGACACAGAATGAAATTCTGGAACCCGGAATAAAAACGTTGGCAGGCCATAGTTCCTTGGTCCCTCTGTGTCTATCCTTTCTTGTGTAGGTCTCAAGTCCAGTAGGGGGTCCCTCAAAGAATAGCTGCCTCTCTGCCTTATACTAGCCTGGGACTCCCAAATACCTGAATCATCCAAGAAGCCTAGAGTAGCACCTTGAGAGTGAACTAACTGTTTGGGCGCAGTGCACCAGAGAGGCCGATGGCTTGGAACTGGGCTCCCAAAGCAGCCACTTATTCTGGGAAAGAAAACCACAAAGCCTCAGCTGCACAGCAAAATCCCCAGCATCAGGGACAAACGGAATTTCTACAACTGGCACCAGGAGACAAAACCTCTTGCATGTACCCAGAATCCAAGTGATGGTTTATTGATCACCTTTGTGCTCCACAGCAAGCAATGGAGGGAACGTCTGGTGGGGAACTTCCGACCAATGACCAAAGTTTATGACTTTTTCTGAGGGTTAGGTAATATTATTTTGATCATTAACTGCTTGAGCCCAAAGAATCTTTCTATCTCCAAATGTGCTATTCTGGTTATTCAGATGAGAGGAGGTGGTAAAGTGGGGGTTCTTAATCTGATTTCCATGGGTGAACTTGAGTGGCACCCATCACATTGTTTCTCTAAGTGTGTGTGCACATGTGCACAGATTTTTCTGGGAGAGTCTCTGTCCAGAGCTTTCATCAGCATATCAAAGGGGTCCAAGACTGTCCCAAAGGTTAAGAACTTTTCAGACAGAAGCTGCAGGTAGAGCAGCTGCAGGGCGGTAGAATAATCAGCAAGTCGGAGTATTTTAGGGTGTGTTCGCCAGCCCATAGTTTGTGGCTGACCCTTCCAATCTTATATGTGAGTCTCTTTCCTACCTCCTTTCTCAATCACTCTTGTCCTCTTCTCTCCTCTACTTTCTTCTCTTTTTTCTCATCTCCTCCACTGTCTCTTTTCTTTCATCCCGGCTCATTTAACAACAGGGAACTTAAAGTATGTTAGTACTCTCTGTGCTGCCCCATAAACCTTATAGAATGGAACTTTGTGTTTATAATTTATAAAGTCATCTGAGTTAAATATTTTCTGTCACTCTCTTGAAGAAAATAAAGTAGCAAAATTGCACTGGCCTCCCACTACCATGCATATATGCCTGCATGTCTGTGAGTATTCATTGCTCTTCAGAAACTGTGTGGCCCTAAAGTGAGGGCTTACAGCCTCTTTCAATGTCACTGTTTTCACCGTCAGACTCAGATGACCTTTGTCAACAGGACAGAAGAGCTTATGTGAGTCTTGCCATGATGTCTGAGCTGACTCAGAACGAGAGAGGGACAGCAGCAGGACCATGAAATCCATAGCCCACCAGACTGTTAAGAGACCAGAGGGGAACCTGCCTGCTTCATAAGGGGTGTCGAGGTGCCACTGAAGGGGACACAGGCTCCTCTGTTTTTTATGGGATGTAACTTCTCTTGCCCGAACCCAAAAATGTTGTCCTGCCATCCTTCATGGTACTAAACAGGGTTAGTCAAGAGGAGGGTGCTTTCCTCTGTAATCCAGAAGTAAAATGCAGTAGCAGTGCCTCTGGGATTCAAACTGGCAAAGAAATACACTCCAAAACAAATTCAAAGAAGTCTGCTCAGCCAGCTGGTCATGGAGTAAGCCAGCCAGACCTGCAGACCTGACAGAGAGTTTACACTCTTCTTGGAACTCTGAGGAGACAAACTCTGCAAGCGAGAGGCTGGCTTCTTCACCCTACCCTAGGGATACAGGGCTGTACCCTCCCTCTGAGACCTGGGTAAGCACCAGAAAGGGCACAAGGCCCTGTGTGCTTAGTCATCCCTCTGAGATAATTGTTTACCTCAAGACCTTGGCCATGGCGAGGTGCAAGCCATCAGCAAGGATAGGTTCAGGGTAGAATATGTGTATGTATGTCAGAGTCTGTGTGGATGAAGGGTACATGGGAGCATTTGAGGAGGCCTTTGGAAAATCAGTGTGCATGTATGGGAGTGTGTGTGTTGTGGGATGGGGCAAAGGGGTCTGCATTCGTGGAGGGAGTAGAAGAAACGTGCATATGTGTATGCATGGGCTATGCAAGTGTGGAGTGTGCATGAGTGTGGGGTGAATAGATGTGAGTGTGCATGTGTGGATATGCAGGGAAGGTGTAGTATATGCACATGTATCTGTGTAGGGTCAGGTATGTGGGGTATTGTGGGAAAAGCATGTATGTATGCGTATGTGTATGTGCATGTTGGGATCTATGCAGAGAGCCTAGGGGTGTGTGCACCTGTGGAGAGAATATGTGAGTGTGATGCATGATTCAAGTTCAATAGTCCCTTGCTTAAAAAAAAAAAACAAACAGAATGATGCACAGGATGTGTGCATAGATGTGGAAGCAGAAAGAAGAGGTTTGCATGTATGAGGCTAGTATTAGTAGGTGAGTGGGCTGGGGAGATGTGGCTGTGCAGGTATGCATATATGTGGGAAGGAGAGGAGTACTGGTTTGTGTTGATATGGTGAGGCGAAAGACATGTATGTGTTCATGGGTGTGTGCAGTGGGTGTGGAGGCACTGTGTCTAGGTGGATATATAGGAGGCTATTTGTGTCCATTGAAGGTGCACACATGTGGGATTTAGTGTGGATGTGGGTATGAAGGATGTGGGTCATTGTGTGGAGCCTGTGGAGGGGGGTTGAGGGAGTACAGATGTGGTTACATATAGCATATGTGGGTGCAATTGTGCATATAAAATCTAGAGAATCAGAGGGAGGGATTTATAGGATGTGTATGTGTAGAAGGTGAGTGAAATCTGTAGAAGAGGGGTGTGGATGCTATCTAGAGGTACATAAGCAGTATGTAGTATAATGTGTAGTACAGTATACTGTGTGAATGATAGAGGTACACAAACAAGGATCTGCTAATGAGAGAGTCTAGATATGTGGAGTGCAAATGGCATGAAGTTGGAGGAATGTGTGCATACATGTGGGGGCTGGAGAGATGGTTGTGGAAGGGTCTACGTGCGTGTGGGTATATGTGTGTGCTTCTGGGGGACTAAGAAAGGATTGGATATAGGAGGGTGTGGGTGTGTGGCTCTGTGAATATATGCATATGACACTTGCAGGAAGGAACATCTGTATATGTGTGGGGTGTTTAGGGATGAGGACAAGACATGAGAAAATTAAGGGATGCTACAAAATTCAGTCAAGCAAAAGTCTAGAAGCAGAGGACTGGCTTGAGACCTAAGAGAAGGTGTGAGATTTGGATGGAAATTCTGGCATCTGAAGTTTCCAGGAAAGGGGTTGGGGACACAGGGGAGCTCTCAGCACTTGGGTACGGGACTTAGTATACCATTTTGACTATGGCAGTTAGCACTAGAAAGCCAAGATCCCCTGTTCTGAACTTCCCAGCATTCTTTTCCCCCTCCTTAAGAAACCAGGCTTCCTTCCCTGTGGGAACCATACCTAGCACTCCAACCCGGTAGTTGAGGGTGATGACGATAACGTTGCCATAACTGGCGAGGACGCTGCCATCAATCATGTTGCCTGTCCCTTCCATGTAAGAGCCTCCATGGATGTAGACCATAACGGGTTTAGCTCCACTGTCCCGGATGTCTGCAAGGAGAAGGGGTGAGACACAGGCTGGGTAAGATGCCCTTCCTCCCCCACCCTCACCAGCCCTGGGTGGGGGGGGGCAGCAAAGCTATCCCAGGTGCCAGGACACCACCACCAAGTCTGAGGGCGGGACTCATGCTCAGTCCGCAGCTCCAGCACTGGCCAGACAGTTGGACTTCAGTGATGGTTTGAAAGACTCCAGTTTTAAGCACCTCCCAGCTCAAGGCAGCCAGGCATGCCTGATACAGCTGGGCCTAGCTAGGCCATGGCTAGGCCCCAGGGACGGTGGGAGGTGGGGGAACAGATGGAAGCAGAAGGGCTGGCCCCTTGACTTGATCTGGTGAGTCTGCCCTGGGCACCCAGGAGTCCTGGGACCTGACAAGGCTTTAGAGAGTAGGGGCTGTGGAGTTCTGAAACCCCCAAGACTAAACCAGTAACATGGAAATATGGCCATAGGCAGCAGCTGGCCCCCCAGTGCAGACAGAAACAAAAGGGGTGGGAATAGGGCTGGCACAGGAGAGAACAAGGAAGGAGGGTGGGGAGGGGGAGTAAATGGCAGAGGTGGGGTAGGGGAACCTCATTGACATGGTTTCTCAGCCATGTGTCCGTGTACCCCATCTTCCCTGGGCATCAGGCAGGCTTAACAGGAAACACTGGGGGTGGGGAGAGGAAAGAGGCAGAACTTAGAATGAAAGAGCTTGCCCCCAGTCAGCATTAAGGTGAAGATGGAGCCTCTCCAGAAGCCATTCAACAAGGGAAATTCAAAAGTGGCTGTCCCCAAGCCCAGGCAGCATGGCGGGGCTGGGCAGTCAAGAGCAGGCTCCCGGCCTGATCAACTCTACCTGCAGCTTCTTGGTCTGTGAGCTGGATCAGCACTCTGCCACACAGCACAGCCTTACAAGCCACGAGAGGGCCCCCTGAGCTGGCTGCCCCCCCCACCCCCCCAGGGATGGAGAAGCAGGGCCAGGGCCTGGATGTTTTCCCGAAAGGAAGGAAGACTGGTTCAGCTGTCACCCGAGGGTCTTATGCTGAATACTGACTGGGCTGTGTTGTCTTGGAGTGTCAACCCCTAATCTTTCTGGCTCTGTCCCGAACCTACCACAGCCCCAGCCCCTGAGGTCATATCTCTCTTTCTGGGAGAAGGCTCAGGAAGTTTGTTCTAGGTGGTTCTATTTTCTTGCCCCTTTGGATGTCACTACCTTACTCTTCAGTTCAACATCCTGCGGGACTCCTCTCCCAGGAGCCAGTCTCCCCATGAAACACAGGTGTGTCCTCAACATAACACAGGCCTCTTCTTGCCATCCCGTTCCCTTTGTGCCTCTCCTTACCTTCCCCCAGACCTGCATTTCCCCTTCTCTCCCCTGCTGCTTAGTAGAGTCAGGTGCCCTTGAGCCACAGAAGATGGGGGAGGAAGCCTTCTCCAGCATCTACGATAGAACTGAGCGGGATGGGGGACCCTAGCGAGGCAGATGCCCTCCCCATAGCTCTGCTGTGGTCCCCTGCTCCCGCCAGCTGTGTCCATTGCCCTGGAACTCCCAGTGGCCAACCAGGCCAAAGATGGATGAACAGCCAGACGGCCTTATACAGGAACAGAAACACACCAACAGACGGACAGACAGACAGATGGGGCTTCTCCCCATCAAGAGGGGGAGGGGCTCTGTGCCATGCACCAGCCGCCACGCCCTGCAGCCCCCAAATACCTTCATCTTCATCCCCGTCATTATCCGCTAAGTCCTCGCCCTGTTTCTTAGCGCCGGATCCTGGGGACCAGACACGGGGAGACACAACAGCACAGAACAGAGAACAAAACAGAGAGAGAATTCAAAAACAGCATGACTGCAGTGTGGCCCAGCAAGCCAGCTCTGGGCCTGGGCCCAGGACAGGCAGGAGGGATGGCAAGAACTGAGGGAGTGGGTGGGCTGAGGCCCAGACCTTCACCAGGATGATGGTGTTGCAGGCCCCTGCTGTGCTGGCCTCCCTGCACCTTCCTGGCCTGCCTCCTTGTCCCCAACAGCCCATCTCAACCAACTCCCTTCCCAGATAAGGAGGAGGTAGCAGCAGGTGGGCCAGGGCACAGAGCCAGAGACCCCCAAGGGAAAGAATATCTTCTGGGTGGAAGGGGCTGCACGTGTTTACACAGGCAGGTGGAGCTGGAGAGCAGGGCAGGTGCTGAGGGGCAGAGGCCGCACTGTCCACATGTGTGCATATAGGGGTAGCTGCTGGGGCAGCGATGGGGGCTGGGGACCCCAGATCTGAGCTGCCACGCCCAGGGGGAAGACTCAAGCTGGGCCTCAGCTGACCCTGATTCCCAGAGGAGAAAATGGGAGACGATGTATTCCCTCACTGGGGCCCCCTGTCCTGGTGAATGGCAAAAGGGGTCCTTGCCCACAGGAACCAGGCCTGAGAGCATGAAGCATTGATGATATGTAGAGAGCCAGAGAGTGAGGGAGGGAGAGAAGGAAGTGGAACAGGAAAGAGGTACAATGAGAAAGAGAGAGAGAGAATGGCAAGAGCTCCTACCATGTACTAAATTACCAAGTTCCAGACACTGTATGCCTGTTTGATCCTTATACCCCAATGAGATAGGTACTATCTTTAGATTCTTGTTTCACTGATGGGAAACTGAGGTTCAGAGAGGAAAAGTGACTTGCTTAAGATCACACAGCTAGGAAGCACTGGAGGTAAGATTCAAACCCAGGGTGCTTGACTCCAAAGCCTGTGGTCTTTCCACTGCACCATGCCACCTTTCTGGGATGGGGAAGGGGAAGAAAAAAATGAGAAAAGAGGTGGAGCATGGAGCGGCAGGGAAAGGAGGGAGGGAGAAAAAAGGAGAGACTAGAGGAGAGAAAAAGAACATTTAGGATCTGGCATCAAGCCTCCTTCCTGTTCTATGGACTCAAGAAGTGCACCTTGAGAAAGGTGGTGGAGAAAGGGGGCTTATGTTGCCTGCACAATGGTGAGTGTGTGGAAACAAGGTCTTTCTACTGGCACCCCAGGGCTCATCCCACCCTCTTGTCTATGACACCAGATACTCTCAGGCAGGAGGCAGCAAATATCCCTTTCTCAGCTGTTCAGCCTCTGGTGACCAAACTCCCTTACAGCTATTAAGCAAACAGAAACAGCCTTCACATTATACGGCTTTGAACTCGGGCAAGAGCCCAGCATGAGGGCTAGAAACCGCCTCTAGCTTCCTGAGGTACCTACCATCTTAATGCCCTCCAGTGCAACCCTCAGAAACCCTGTGGGACCCAGGACATCATTACCCATACCACATCCCTACCAGGGGACAACCCCCTAAACTGAAAGGAATCCCTCATTCCCAAACATGAATCCCTTCCACCCAGATGGAGGTGGCAATGTGGTCTTCCCTAGGAAATCCTCCCCTTGCCACAGGCCCTGACTTAGAAGATGGTTCCCCCCACCCCACCCCAGGAGTGTCCCTGAGTTCCTGCATTGCCCCAGAGTCCTACACACAGATGCCTTTGTGGCGCCTGCCAGGCACCTCCTTGCTGCCACGCCTCTCCACAGGCCAGCTCCATCACCATTCCCCCTGCAGGCGCTGCTGCTGCTGCTGTGGGATCCCAGTCAGGCCAGCCCTGCCTAATCCATGAGCGACAGCATGTATGGGGTGGGGGTGGGGTGGGGGGGAAGTGAACTACTAAGGCAGAAACTGGTACCAGTGCCCCCAGTTCGGAGCTACCTGGGTCCAGTGGGCAGACTCAAGCTAGGTGTCAGCTGATTATCATAGGAGAAAATGCGAGATGAAGTTTTTCCTCTACTCTTCCTTTATTGTATGCTCCCTGGTCTGGTTAATGACAAAAGAGGTTCATGCCCACAGGAACCAGGCCCAAGAGCACCAAACATTGCCCTGAGATGTGGAAAGATGAATCTTCCCCAAAAGACAGGATCTATAACTGTTCTAATGGTCAACAAGCCTTGGATAGGGAAATGATTTGAACAGCAGAATGATCACATGCCCTTTCCCTCGCTGTCTGGGACACCCTCCCAACTTGGCCAGGGGAAGGGGGGCTTAGGGAAACCAGTTGAGTTTAAATACTAGGCTAAGAGATTCTTCATAGCATTGATCAGGTCTTTAGTTATTTCTCAATATGTCCTCTTCCTCTTATCCAGATAGCACCTAGCATATGGCCTTGTCCACAGTGAATAATCATGATTGGTTAATGTTTGCATTCGAGAAGAGCTTCTAGTCAGCTCTCTAGCCAAACTCTCAGGGCTAGACTGGACTGCCCTAGGCTCTCCCTGGAGCCATGGAGAGATCATTCCTCCCGGGAAATGGTAGTTACTTGCTGTCATCTCCTTCCTAACCCCCCTCCCAAGTAGGTAATTCATAGGAACTAGTTTAAGAGGCCTTTTTCCTGAATTCATTTACAGGTTAAAGGAATGTTATGGCCAGAATGGCCCCCTGTCACCTTCATCTGTGGAATCAGTTTTTGAAAGGACAAGATTTGCTTCAGATCTCACTGTGAGTTAGCAGCACAGCTGGGACTTAGCCAGGCTTTGTGGTTCCCAGATTTATACTCTTCTTGCAGCACTAATGCTTCTTCATTCACGCAAAAAAAAAAAAAAAAGTTTACTGATTGCCTACCATGTGTGAGGTGTGGGCCTGGGTGGGGGACATGGTAGAGCTCTATCCCGGAGGAGCAGCGGGCCTCATTCATGCTTGGGCGCGCACTCAGCACACAAGCTGGTCAACAAGTACATTCTGGGCTCCACCCCTAGAGCCTCACTCAGGAGGGAGCAGCCCTGTCCAGGCATCCGGATAGCCCTTCTCTGGGGCTCCCTGCCCTAGGATTTCAAAGGCAAACCCAATCCAAGTTTGCCAGAAGAGTTGCAGGGCTCAGGCTATAATTTCCCACCAGTTCCTGAGGTTGTTACTCTCCGATTTGGCCCAGCCATCCATACTTTGCCATTTTTTTCAGCGTTGGGGTGGTGAGAATGAGCAGGTAGGAGTTACCTGGCAGCTACAGTGGAAAGAATACTGCCCTGAGAACCAAGCGACCCAGGTTTTGCTCCCAGCTCCGACACAGACCAGCAACGGGGCTGTGAGCAGCAGCAAGTCACTCCCCTGGGCCTGTTTCCCTCACCTGTAAAATTGAGAGACTGATCCTGCCTTAGAAGCTTCCAGAGATGTGAAGATTTTATGAGGTTAATTATGAAAGCACTTTGCAGAAAACACAAAGTGGTATTAGAACAGGAAGAATTCCTCCACAGGAGGAACAAAATCCACCTAGCAAGAGGGGACATTTTCAAACCAAGAGCTCGAGTCCCTTTAGAGTAGCAGTTCCCAGAGACCTCCGAGGTCAGCCGCCACTCAGCTGTGCTCTGGCCAGAGGTGGTAGTGGGTGGCAGGATTACTCAGCTAGTGAGCTGGAGTTTGTGCTAAACTTCAGGGCTGGAGAACTGAGTCTAGAAAGGGTACGAATGCTTGAGCTGGTGGCTGCCACGCTAGGAGAAGGGCAGTCTCTGGTTCCATCTTGGCTGCCTAGTTTCACCTGAGGTGTCTGGGAGAGAAGCACTGGCTCTGTCTTTGGCACATGCTTTAGGGTGGAATTTGGGGAGCTGGCAAGATTGGGGGAAGTGGGACTGCTGTTTCTGCTCTGAACCTGCCTGAGGCCACCAAGCACTCCCTGAAGAACAGCCAGGGCCCTTGGATGAGGTGGAGCTTATGCCCGCTCACCGACTGCCCCCTGAGCCTGGGATACTTGAAGGAAGGCTGGGTCCTCAGGGGCAAGGGCAGATGGGCAGGCAGCCTCCCTCTCTCTCTCTCTCCCTCCCCGCCGGCTCGCTACCTACCTCCTTTCCTACAAATTTTCTTGTTGGGCTTTCGGGCGCATTCCTTGGAAATCCGCTTTACTGTAAAATGAATAAAAAACTAAAAAATAACAGGAGGCCTCTGCCCAGGGGCATGCACCCCCCACCCCCAGGCCCCAAGAGCTGCTCTGCGGGCACATGGCAGAGAGCCTGTCCCACCATCTCCTTGATTCTGTCACTTACCTTAGTGTGACCCCCGCGGGAGGAGGCATCAGCTAGCGAAAGAGGAGTCACCTAAGCAATGCCCACCAGGCTTGCCCCCCGCCCAGCACACACAACCAGCGCCCTTGGCCACACACACCTGCGCCTTTCCAAGCAGGTGGATGGCAACAGGGGGGCCTGGTGGAGCCAGCATCCTCCCGCGGGCAGCTGCCAGCGTGACCCATACTCCCCCAGGGGGCCCCCATCCAGCACTCTGGCCCTAGACCTGTCAAAGCTCTCAGGACTGGCCAGGTCCCTCCTGGAAACAGAGTCACTCACACATGGAGCTCAGACAAGGCTGGGAGAGGGAAGAACAAGGAGGAGGAAGGGGGAGGCCAAGCAGAGTGATGGTTAGAAGCATTTTCATAGACAGACAGATGCATGCTGCAGGGCGCACAACTACATGCCAGCCACAAACACAACAGGGCAGGTGGGAGGCAGGGAGGGCACAGTGCCTGGCCGCCGCACTCACCATCCTCCGTGGGTACATAGACATTCAGGTAGAGGCAGTCTTCATTGGGCTCCTGGATGTAAGTAGCGACGATATCCAAGTTGGCAGTGAACCAGACAGGCAGCATGACTTCGGGCACGGCTGTGTGAATGTTCTGGGGGCACACTGGGGGGAAGTGTGTGGCGTTCCGGATGCCAGACCAGGATGGGGGTGGCTCAGGGGGCAGGAAACGTTTCTCGCCGATTGGGGGGGCTGCGTAGGGCACCCCCAGGTATTGGTCCACAGGCCCCAGGATCTCACTGGGCAATGGTACCCGGGCACCCCTCAGCTTCCCAAAGTGAGTATTGACTGTGGGTGCCGGAGCCTGGGTGCTGGCCCTCAGCACCAAGCTGAAGAACCACAGGGTGAGGCACAGGCTCCGGCCAACTGTGGGCTTGGGGCTCAGGGGCAGCGAGGGCAGGCCAAGCCGCAGCCACATGTTCCGGGCAGGGGGACTGGCAGGAAAGGCAGACTCCAGGGTCACAGCATCAGCCCAACAGGCAGCCCCTTCATGGCCACACTGACTTGAACCTCAAAACTGAGCTCTCCTACGGGGACACCTACAGGTGCCCAGCAACGACGAGAGCAGGTCTTCCAAGCACCACGGTTTCAGAAAGGGGACTCCCTCAGGGCCAGACAGGCCTGTGGAAAGAGGGAAGTAGTCGTCATCCAAGATGGTCAGTCTTTGGGGCCCTGTAGGGCTTCTGCTAGTCTCTTACAGTTAGAAGAGGTCTCACATGCCCGGGGTTCCAGGGACCCATAGATGAGCTCCACTGCCAGCAGGAATCACTCTATGTGCCTGGCCATGGCTAGAAAATTCAGGGGGTGATCGACAGAGTGACAGTTGTTGCCACTGCAAGTTCCCAGTCCCCAACTTCAACTCCTCAGCCAGCAAAGCTCCTTGAGGTCAGCTGGAGCCAAAGTGGCCAGCAGTAGCAGGGCATGGGGTGATCTGGAAATGGAGCTCAGGACCCTTGTGCGCTGCAGGATCACTGAGCTCTTGAGCCCCAGCATTGGTAACCCCACACCGGAACCTCCACATCAGGAGAGGGTAGGAGAGTTAACCTCACTCCAGTCCTCTACGGCATAAGAAGGGAAAGCCACAGATAGGCAGAGTCTGCAGGGAGACCCCTCACCTTCAGGTAGGGAAGGACAGCCATTCACCAGAGCCCCCAGACCCTCTGTGCCTCAGCCCTCATGCCTCTCAAGTTCTCAAGCCCTGGTCCATTCCGTGGGTTAGCTCTAATTCATACAGAGTGCCAAAACTGAGGCAGAAACCGTTTTGCCTAGCACCCTAAGCATTGTTGATGCTTAGCCAGTGTAAAATAAACAATGAAGTGTGGGGAGGGTAGGGGGGAGAGGCACACACATTCAGAGACTCATAGAAATAAACTCACAAAGACTCAAAGAGGCAGAGAGGCAGTGAGAAAGACCAAGCCAGGATCACAGACACTGCGATATTCACTCAGAGACATACATTCCAAACCCTCAGAGATTCCCTCATATGGTCCCACATTCTTAGACAGAACCTCACAGAGCCAGAGACTAACAGAGAGATACATTCAGAGACACACAGACACCTACTGAAATATAATCACACAGACCACATAGGTAAATATCGAGGGACACATGCAGCAAAATGGTGACACATAGGTGGGGACAGAACTGAAATAGTAAGACAATTCAAGACACACACCTTCTGATACACATACACCCAGGCATGCACAGACACTACTGCATGGACACACACACACACACACACACACAATATTTCATTTCCCCCCATTTCTCCCACCTTCCAGGATTGCAGGCCTACTCCTTTAAGAAGTGACTGAGGGGTGGGGGAGGGAGATTGGGAACGCCCCAGCAAGCCACCACATGAGGGGAATGAGAATGTGAGAGACGAAGAGACTGAGGGAGAGAGACAGAGCAATCAAGAGAGAAGAAAAAGAAGAGGTAGAGAAAGAGGAAGCAGAGAAAGAAGAAAGAGGAAGAGGAGGAGGAGGAAGAAGAAAAAAGAGGAGGAGAAAAAGGAGGGAGGAGGGCAGAGCAACTAAAGGGGTGAGGGTTCAGAAGATATGGGGAGCAAAGTATTGGGGGGTTAGAGCTCAGATAAGGACTAGAATGCACCCGAGAGGGAGGGTGACCATAGGGAAGAGGAAGGAAGGCGTTGGAGCAGGGAGGTGGGGCAGGAGGGAGGGAGTATGTGTGTTTGTATGGGGGGGGGACTAGTCCGCAGCTGAGTTCACACAATCCCCCCATTCACTGTCTCCATGGCAACTCCAGGGCACAGACCGCTCATTCACACGGCTTCCCCGCCAGCAACCCCCCCACCATTAACCCCCTCGGTGCCGCCCCTCCCCACAAATTCCATTAACCCTCTTGGGATGGCTCCCCCCCATAACCCTTAGGCGCCAAATGTCATTCCCCTTTGAGTCAATTCCTTGTAGCCCCTCCCCTGTGAACACCTAGACAATTCAACCGACCCCCAAACGCCCTCTGTACCCTAGAACCCACTATGAGTCCCCAAGGCCAAGATCTCCATCATGGTCCAACTTGCAATGTGGGAGAAGACAAGGGGAGGCAGCAGTGCTGGGGATTGGAATGGCATCTGGGGGCTCCGGAGACTGGAGCAGTGTTGGGTGAGGGGCATTGTGCAGGAATGGACTGGTATTGAGAACTGCAGCATTGGGGGCTACCCGAGTTCAGAATGGTATTGGGGGATGGAGCTGCATTGGAATGGGGGAGGATAGGATAAAGGCCTCCGTTGGGGGGGCCTGCAGAGGGTGGGGGAGGGAACCTGGCTAAGAGATGCTATGATGGAAGAGGGATGGGGCTGCACTGCGGGGGAGGGGGGCTGGCAATGTGCAATGCCAGAACGGGGCTGGGGGCCCTCAGCAGGGGTATTTTGATGAGAGTGCGGGCCAGGCTAGGAAAACAGAGGGGCCACAGGCGGGAGGATGATAGGGATGCAGGATTCAGTGAGGAGGTGGAGAAGAGAATGGGGGGGGGAGGATTGAGGGGTCAGGGGTGCTGATGGAGAACACGGGGTTGAGAAGGACGGGGAACATTGACTGGGGCGTGGAGGATCCCGGGATTAGGAGGGGATAGGATCGGGGCAAGGTATGGGCAGCTAGAGGATGAGAGACCGGGGCAGGCGGCCTCACCTGTTCCCCGGGCTGTTGCGAGCGACTGTACCGGGCCGCGGACCACCCATATCGCCTCCAGGCCAAGGGCTCCGCACCCGAATCCCCGAGATCTGCTCTCCGGCAGCCTGGCTGCTGTGCCCGCGCACCGAGGGGGCGCGCTGCGCGTGCCCGGACACGGGGGGCGCGGTCCCTGCCATTAACTCCTTTTGTGCCAGAGATGGCTCAAGTCCTGGGGCATGGCCCAATTCCTGCTGTGCTCCAGCACCCAACTTGCTCTCTCCCTTCCTCCCTCTCTCCCTTTTCCTCGGCTGTGCTCTCTCTTACACATGCACGCACGCGAGTGAGCGCGTGAGAGAGCGCGCGCGCGCGCACACTCTCACACACACACACAAACACACACACAGCCTTCAAGTAGAACAGGTGATCTTCAGGTATGCTAGTCTAAACTTTACCTGTAAAGCATGAGAGCCTTAAACAAAGGGAGAAACTGAGGCACTGCCTGCAGGAACCTTTAGCCATATTCCACAAGGGACCACCTACACATCAGTACCCTTACCTCCTCAGCACCAGCATTACACTACTCAAGCACCAACAGTGTGTGTGTGTGGGGGGGGGGGGACGGGTTTGCCCTCAACTTGTCACTGCCCCAAAGTCAAAGCTATTCCTTTGTGCTTGCTCTGCCGGGGCACAGTGTTAGCATGCCACTTGTCTTTTCAGTCTCTTTCCAGATCCATCCATCTTTGTGTCTTGCTTCAGTATGTAGTACACCTGTGTATTTGTTTACCATCTTCTTCCCCCTCCAAGTTCCTCTGAGTGTCCTTTGTCCCAGCAAGTCACTACCCTTGCAGCTCCTCAGAATGTGCCAGAGTAGGTCAGAAGCAAGCTGGAGTCATGGCGGCCTTTCCCTTGTCGGAGTCCACCCTTCTGCACACAACTCTTTAAATGTAAGTCCTATATGAGCAAGGGTTTTTTGGACCCCAGAGAGGGATTTAGTTTTTTATTTCTTAAAACTTGGGTATTGATACTCTTGGTTTTACCAGCACATTTGACAATTCCCAGTGATGTGGGGTAACTATGGGCTAGACGTTCTCTTGAAGTTGTCAAATCATCCTGTACCACCCACCCACAGCCCACCCACCCCTTCCTGCCCCAGCTAGGTACACCAGAAAACTCCACTGCAGTCAGCTAACCTGACAACCCGAAGGTGGGGGGGGCTGAGTGTGGCCCTGTATAATTCCAAATGTGACTCTGGAGCAAGTTTTCAGTTTCCTCTACTGTAAAATGGAAGTGAGCAACTGTCGACCTGGGTAACTGCCAAGGAGGGTCATGTGAAGACAAGTTGTTTCAGTAACAGAGCAGAGCAAAGGGTATTTCCTTTTACTGCCTCTTTCTCCTAAAATCATACTGTCCTTGCACACCTGTTTGATGGTGATACTTGCCAACAGAAGGCAATTTTTCATCTCAGAAATATTGGTGCTGGGGGTGGTGACCCACAAAGTGGCAAATGGGTAAGCATTGTCTGTCATGCCCCACAATGTGTAAGTTGTTAGGGCCTAGCATGAGGGGTGGGTAGAATAATCAGATTCCACTGATTTTCCCTTTGGTAGAATGATCCCCACCCTCCAATCCCAGTGGCACAGCCCCTGTGGAGAAAAGCTGTAAATAGCTTCAACATTGAAGTGAGAAAGTAAGCTATCTTTCCTAAGAGATGAAGGGCCCAGATCTTCATATACTGCCAGGCTGGAGAGGGGAGAGAGGACAGCACTCCAATAGAAGTTGAGAAGGTGGAAAGTAAACAGGGCAGATGATGTGAACAGAATAAAGGCTCTGACGTGTTGACTCAGCCCTCCCACCCAACCCAACCCCGACCCCAGCCCCAGCCCCAGCCCCTGGGGTTCTCCCAAGTACCCATCTTTCCTGGACATGCAGAATTCACACACTCCCTTTGCAAAGAAGCTCTGTGTATTGGGTGCAACAGCTCTGGGGTCTCTATATAAATAATATACAAAACCCAACAGCTCAATGCCTCACATTAACAAAAATACTAAAAACTCATTAAAAATGGAGCCTGAGGGAAGAGGCCCAACCACTACGGTGCCAGCCTGGGAGGGGGTTGGGAATTAAGAGGGGAGGGCGGGGCCACATCCAGGGCACAAGCGGTTCTTCCACATGGCTCAGTAGCGTCCAAATATGTTGGTACTGGGCTGTGGCTGGGTATCTGTGGAAAAGCAGAGGTTATCAGGGGTGGCAGAACAAGCAAGGGCACAGGACCCACCCCCAATGTTGTATGGGGCTCTCCCTGAGGAAGGGGTAAAGGCAGGCTTACTGGAGAGCTGCTGTTGGAGTTGCCGAACCAAAGCGGCTGTCTGCTGCTGTTGCTGCGTCTGCTGAAGTCCCTGGCGCTGGAACTGAGTGAAAAACATGAAGCAGAAGACTGAATTCAAACCTTCACTACCTTCTCCAGTCTCATCTTTCAATCCCTTTTTAGAGAGTCACAGCTGGGCTCCCACCTCTACTCCCACGGACTGTCCCCAACCTGTGCCCAACCTGAGCCCAGCACCTCCTAGTCGGCAGCTACCTGGGGCTGGGACTGGGGCTGGGGTTGAGGAGGAGCGGCCTGCTGCTGCTGCTGCTGGTGTGCCTGCTGCTGCTGCTGTTGTTGCTGCTGCTGTTGCTGCTGTTGCTGCTGCTGCTGCTGCTGCTGTTGCTGCTGCTGCTATGAAAACAGAGATACTTCTGAAGGGGAGAGGGAGCTGAGTTTCAGAGATGGGAAGGGTGAGGGTAGGGGAAGAAGCAATAGGGAGGGAACTTCTTTCTTCTGCCTGCCCTCCTTGAAAGAGCTGCAGAGAAAGAAACCAGATGGAGAAGAATCAAAAAACAAGTCCCAACTCTCTCCCATCAGGAACCTCAGAAAACAGAAGGGCGTAGGGAGAAAATTCACTCTTGGCTTCGACTCTGTGCCAGTCACTCTACTTGGTGCTTTATGACACTGCCTCGTTCAGCCATTCTAACCGCCTGGCCGAGCAGGCACTTCTTGGGCTCCCAGGGGCCAGATGAAGCCCCAGGGTCTTACCCGTAGGATCTGCTGCTGCTGCTGCTGCCGGATGTGGTACTGCTGCTGTTGCTGTTGTTGTTGCTGCTGCTGTTGCTGCTGCTGCTGTTGCTGCTGCTGCTGCTGTTGCTGCTGCTGCTGCTGCTGCTGTTGCTGCTGCTGCTGCTCAGGCAGGATGGAAGCTGATCGGACACCAGCCTGCACACCCTGGGCACCCAGCGGAGCCATGGTACCTATCATGGGTGTTTGCTGCAGCGCCTGGTGGGAAAACCTATAAAGATAAGAGGCCCTAGGGGTCAAGGCCTGGCACAGGGTGGGAGGGCAAGTATAAGCGCTGGATCCCCAACCAGAAAAAAATTTCAGTGAATTATCTCTTCCTGTCATGAATCTTTTGGGTTCTGACAATCTTCTAGGTTGGGGAGTAAGGAACAAAGACAACACTCCATTTTGAAGCCTCATACCCCTAATGGTTAGGAATTTTTTCAGTTCTGGTTTAGTTTTCTTTTATGAAAGGGGGAACCAGTCTTAGGACACACTGGCATTCCATAAACACACAGTGATGTTGTTTTTGTTACTGTTGTTCCCCCAGTCACATTTCAGGGTCTTAAAGATGACTGAGGTCTGCTATTCCTTATACTTTCTTTACACTAATCTGCCATCACTGCAACAGGCTGCTGGCTCGGCCCACCCTAAGCCTCCTCTCACCTTCC